TATTATAAATTAATAATAGAATTTATAGAAATGTGTGAATATAAATTTAAATTATTAATCGTGATTTAAATATATTTGTTGTGCTAGTTATATTATATGTATATCTCTTCTCTTTACTTTTCGTTTTATTTTTATTTGCAAACTTCAAATTACGTTCATAACGTAATACAGAAGTTGGATTATCTGTAGAGTATCATATATAGAATATGTAGAAGCAAATTAAAGTGAGTCCATATGAAGAATACCTTCAAATGCAACAAAATTTGCTATAGCAAAATCAACGAACAACGTGGTATTTTAAACAATCTTATTATATTATCGGTATATGATTTAGCACTACAAGGTGTTATATAAGAGGCTCCTAATTTAAATGTAATTTCGAGTCTTAATAATAAACGCAAGTTATTATTACGCATTCGTGCTGATCGTTATTTTTCGTTCAAATTTTAATTTCTTTACCTTTAAGATCATTTGAAGGTCACGGTATACTAAGTCGTTGAATACGTCTATATATGAGCTATGCATTACTATTGTAATACAATGCAATGTGTTACTAATGTAACACTGTTAAGTCAAAAATACAAAGTGCTATTTAAAGAAACGAAGATTACCTCGAAAAACATTGCAAAAAAGTTTATTGAAATTTTTTGTATTGCACTGTATAGCTAATCGAAACTGATCAACTTCTGATTAACAAATTTTTTGTCAGATTATCGCAAAATCTTGAAAAATCGTGGAAAGTGTTATGTGGAACACCATGTATAGAAAATACAATAGACGATAAAATGATAACGCACTCAATGAATTTTAGTGTTTTTCGAGTAAATACTAATGCAATAAAACACTAAAGTAAACTATGATATTTAGTCACGGAAGTTCATACTTAACTTTTTGTTCTTTTGCCCTTCAAATATAATAGTAAATATCACTTAAGATTTATACTTACAAACAACTATTATTAAATTTATAGACATTTTATTTTACCTTTTAAACAAAATTTTGTCACTAAAGATAAGGTTCGCTTTATTCTTTTGCTGCCAAAGGTATTAAAATTCGCTAGCCGTAAATTTTATGACAGTTCTTCTTATGCGTCGTTAGTTTATACGCAACATAATGGAAACCATCAATCATTTCAAACCAAAAATTAATTCTTTATTAGAATTTTTTTTATTTTGGCTAATATCGCGTGTTAGTGAATTTAAGAAAAAAAAAGAAAAAGGATCGATTTAGTGAATTTCCTCTCAATCAACGCCACGTACATTTACGATCAATCTATATCAATCTGACAGATTAATAGAGGCCTGTGGTAGTTTTAAAAGATACCGAAGCTTATTTGAGAAACAATATTATAAAATTGAAGCAACAAATTATTCAGGTAAGAGAAACGTGGCAAGTCATTAACAAGGGAACATATACAACACGCCCACATCGAATTTGATGAATTTATGAGACATAGTTCTCAAACAAATATGTGTCGCATATTTTTTCTTATCCGCCATTACTCATATTAACCCTTAGCACTCGAGAGGCGCCATTTGATAAAATTTCGAAGCTCGATATTAATTAATATATCAAATTTAACCCTTTGCACTCGACGATTTTTTGGCTAGAGAAGAATAGAAATTCAAAGATACTCTACTAAAAAACTGACGATACTTTTTTAAACAGTAAATAAAGAATTATATAATAATAGAATTGTAGAATTATTTGATTTCGATACCTCGCACACTGTTATATTATATTAAATTTGATATATTAATTAATATCGATCTTCCAAAGTTTATGAAATGGTGACTGAAGCTCACCCCTCGAGTGCAAAGGGTTAAAATAATGTAACAGTATTCGAGGTATCGAAATTAAATAATTCTACCTGTTAATTATTACACGATTTCTTATTTACTGCTCAAAAAATATCATCAGCCTTATAGTAGAAAATTTTTCAACTCGTACCCTTCTTTAGCCAAAAAATCGTCGAGCGCAAAGTGTTAAATCCAAATGATGGAAACTGCGTTGGTTTTATATGTGTGAATGCGAATGAGGTTGAATAAGTGAAACGCATTTACGATGATATAAATATAATATGTGCGAGTGAAATCTAGTATGAATGTTGTTAAAAAAATGTTTAGAAGAATGTGCCAGAATAAAACAGTTCTGTGAGAATCGTCAAAGAGGAAACATGGATATGTAATGGTTAATAAGAGTGACAGAGAGAGAGGGAGAGAAGAATTTTTTGGAAAATTTCAATCAATTTTTTGTTTGAAATAGTTCATTGCGAGTTGGTTTTATTATTTAAATATTTTTATCTAAATATACTAATGTGTTAACTGTTAAAAAACGTAGAAGATATTGGTTTCCACTTCTATCCACAAAAACAGCCCCCAAAATTAAGGATCCAAAACATATTTCTTAGAATATCTATAAATATTTTGATATTATTTTTGATTCTTGCAATATCCACAAATATTTTAATATTATTTTTGATTCCTGCGATACCAATAAATATTCGATATTTATGTAAATATACTAATGTGTTAACTGTTAAAAGACGTAGAAGATATTGGTTTCCACTTCTATCCACAAAAACAGCCCCCAAAGTTAGGGATCCAAAACATATTTCTTAGAATATCTATAAATATTTTGATATTATTTTTGATTCTTGCAATATCCACAAATATTTTAATATTATTTTTGATTCCTGCGATACCAATAAATATTCTATATTTATCTAAATATACTAATGTGATAACTGTTAAAAAACGTAGAAGATATTGGTGTCCACTTCTATCCACAAAAACAGTCTCCAAAATTAAGGATCCAAAACATATTCCTTGGAATATCTATAAATATTTTGATATCATTTTTGATTTCTGCAATACCCATAAATATTCGGTAATATAAATATTTTGATAAAAACGTAAAACTTGAGATTGTAAGTCATTCAAAGACAATATACATAGGTCATGAAAGTTTTTGTTCTTAAAGCAGTGGTAGATACCGTGTCACAAATTTGCATACTATGTCCCTTATGACTACTTAAGAAGCAACCAACAGTATATCCTATTTCAGTAACAATTCATCAAAACGTTGGAAAAGTGTATTATGCTACTAGAATATGCCCCACGTGGAAAATTACTTATATAATAATAATTATTTGTAGATTAGAATTAAAAATTCCAGGAACACGAATCACCTATTTTGACCTACAGATTATGTATATTGATTTACATAGATGTGAATTAAGATTTATATGTCAAACGAGTAAAAAGATTTGAATCTTTAACGTATTGTTGTAAGAAGTTAATTTCTCTTAAAAATTTCATTTTGACTGCATTCTCTATTTAGAAAGGTATATTTTGAGGAAAAAATTTGCCTCTAGTCCTGTTAAGTCCTAAGATATTCCAGAAAATATGTTTTTCACGTCAAAGTAGGGTGCTGTTTTCATCTCTTTAATATAGACGATGACCGATAAAAAAAAATACGTGTTAAATATTCTTTTCGGAACTATTCCTCATAAAAATTTCATCAAATTCGGCATCTGTGGGATGGATATGCTCCATCGTAAGGTTAAGAGTGTTTATTGTCCTAAAATAAATATTTTGAATTTAAAACGTAGCGAAAATAACAACTCCTATGAAACAGGTAAAATTATGAAATTATAACATGTTTTAAAGATATAGTTGGCAATACAAATTGCACTGAAAGTGGGTTTATATAGTATTGTAACTCGAATATGATAACAATGTGACTAACGAGAAGTGACTGATCATTGAACGAAATAAAGAGCAGTGAGAACAGTGTTTCATCGAGAAATAAAAAAAGAAATAAAATTAAATAAAATTAATTAATTTTATTTTAATTGAGTAAAACTAAATAGAATAAATTTAGCGACCCAGAGAGATTAAGAAAACAGACCAAAGCTCAAAAAAAGACAGGATTAACATTTATCACGCGAAATCGATTAGAATTTGAATCATTCGATAACCGGTTTCCCTGACACGAATTACTTAAAAATCTTACTGTGCCGAAAAGTTATTACAGATTAACATACACAGGTAGTACACAAATAAGAGGTATCACAGAAATGATTCTGAATACATATTATAATATCACAGGAATTAATTAAACGCGACAGTACAACGTAAGATCAAGGTTGTAAAATATACTTTAAATTCCGCTGAAATGAAATATTAACTATGATACATTACTGACGTAATTATTCGCGTAATTAAATCTGGTTGGTTAATACAACCATGAGTCGTGTGAACACGTTAAAATTATACGAATTTTACATCCTTAATCGAAGTTAGGACACTGAGATCAACACATTATTAATGTTCCAACCATTTAAATGAACGATCTACATATAATATACTTTGCTTTTGCAATTAATATAGTAAAATATTCCTTATACAAATTTCTGATATCTGAACAATTTGTAATTCGATTAATAACATTGTTATTCAAACATATTATTACTTAGATGTAATAAAATGTCTGGCAGCAATTCAAATCATCTTTGCTGTAATCTTCATTTCTTTGAATAAGCCTCCGAATTTTGTAAGAAACAAATATTTAATATGATAATTTATATGATAATTTCCACAGTATATTTGTGAATAATTTCCAACAACAGATGTGCATAACTGCCAAGTCATCCTTAGAAATTGCGAGATTCGAGACCTTATCGGAGTATCAAGCTTGATACTATGAAATATAGTTTGAAATTATTTATTTTTCCCAAAAATTACATTTTATAGTCGTATATCTGAATTGTACATTCCATCTTGATTTTTAAATTAAATTTATAACAATCATAATACAATTTTGTGAGAGTACGAATACGGAGTACTCGAAGGGTAAAAGGGCAAAGAGGAAAGAGAAAATTTTAGA